AGTCACGGCAGGAGAGGATAGAGGAGGAGTTTTGGCCGCACCAGGAGAGGGTAGAGCCGGAGTCTTGCCCACAGAAGCAGGTGCAGTTACAGACACAGCAGGAGAGAGTAGAGGAGGAGTCACGGCCGCAGCAGGAGAGGGTAGCGCAGGAGTCCTGGTCGCAGCAGCTGGTGCAGCTGCAGCCGTAGCAGGAGAGGGCAGAGGAGGAGCCACAGGAGCAGCAGCAGGGACAGGTACCGTCGTAGCAGCCGCCAGAGGAGGCGGAGCAGCAGCGACTGAGAGACCTGCCCGACTCAGCACCTGCACGCTTTGTTCGTGGTCCTCTACCGTCCCTTCCTGTTCCCCCTGTCGAGTCCCTTTCTCGTCCAGTGGTCTCGTCGTTCTCCTGTCAGTCGTGCTGTGTCCCCAGAGCCTCGTCGGTCCCGTTACCGTGCCGACGGCCCGTTTCACCTTGTTCTTAACTCTCGTGTTCCATCTCCACCTGTCCTTCCACAGCCTCCTGAGTCGTCCTTCACTGTGTTTTACGACCCATTGTCCGACTACCTCCGTGCCTCCCGTCCTGTCGTCTCCCGTGTTTTGCCCGCGTTGGTCACTCACCCGACTGCACCCCTGTCGTCTGTCTCAGCACTTGTTACCACTGTCGCTGAATTTGCCTCTTCCCACCGCCTTGACTACGCCGCTCACTTGATGAGTGGCCCTTCTCGTTCTTCGTCCTCTTGGGGTGCTCCTGTCTTTCCCTTGAAGGTCCTGGAGGACAAGCAGTTCGAGCTTGGTTTCCTTGCGGCCGCTGTTCCTCATCTCTGCGCCATGCTGCTTGCCCCCGAGGGGGATCCAGACGCCCTTGACATCCTGATCCCTCGCACTCACGCTGAGGAGGTCTCGGGACCCTGGGCTTCGTACTGGATAGCAGATGAGGAGCAGAGATGGCATCTTATAGGTCCACATGCACTTACGTCGACGCAGTCTCGCCACCTAGGACGAACGTCGTCAGTGGCCGATGGCTCTACAAGGTGAAGCGGCCGCCTGGATCATCACAAGTGTTCAGGGCGCGCTATGTGGCGAGAGGCTTCAGTCAGCAAGAAGGGGTGGACTTGTCGAAACTCACCTCCTCCTCCCTGCCCTTCAGTATCACTCTCTCCACCTTTGCTTCTTCCCGCTTCTCTCACCTCTTCTCTGCTCTCACGCTTGCTGTTTGGACCTCCTTTTGCCCTGTCACTCTCCTGGACTACTCACTTCTGCACCTCTGTCCTTTGTCTCTCTTCTCCTCCCTTGGTGATTCTCTCTGTGATGAACTCACTCCCTCAATAGTGATGAGCCACTAGCTCCCTCACATAACTTCCTAGCCACAGGCTTCTCCTAAGTCACACAGCTTGTCATATCTCCCTAACTCTACTACTTGCTTGGTATGTCGCAAGAACTCGTATTAGAAATGAAACATACAAGCAATGAGGATAGCTACAACAAGGTACCTCCTATCTACCAGATCCACCTCCGCCCCTCTAGTACTGTCTAACCCTTGCCTGTCCTCGGTAGCTATTGCGACCTTGGAGCAGGCTATCATCCATCCTGCCAACTGCCTCTGTTGCCCGCCTCCTGCTGCTTTTCCTCCAGCTGCCACTGCACTGTTCCAGCTGGCTCCTTGGAGCACACCTGCACACAAACGAAAGCAAACACGCATGCACGCAAACACCCATCCAAGCTCTGGTGGTAACCTGCTTGCCTTGCCGCTACCTAGCGCTGTAACTCCTGCCCCTGCCCCTTCCTCCTTCGTCAGTCCCGCCCAGTTTGTTACACATGCACACCTCCAACCCTTTGCTTCGGCAGTCGTCAACCTCCAGCTCACCTCCCTTCATTCCCAACCGTCACCTGACTCTTCGCCGAGCATCCTTGTTACTAGCCCAGCACGCTATGTACAATGTGTACACTTTGTACAATTTCCCGCGTCCTTACACCCCTGCTCTCACATTCATGCAAATGTGACAGCTGTCGGAACTCACCTCCTCCTCCCTGCCCTTCAGTATCACTCTCTCCACCTCTGCTTCTTCCCGCTTCTCTCACCTCTTCTCTGCTCTCACGCTTGCTGTTTGGACCTCCTTTTGCCCTGTCACTCTCCTGGACTACTCACTTTTGCACCTCTGTCCTTTGTCTCTCTTCTCCTCCCTTGTTGATTCTCTCTGTGATGAACTCACTCCTGCCCCCTCCCATGACCTGTTGCTGCCGTCCTCGCCCTGGTCATGGGACCCTGGTAAGCCCGTTCCTGCTTGCCCTTGCCCGCGACCGCCACATTCGTCACATGATCCATAACTCTCTTCCCCTTCTCATCCTCCAGCACCAGCACCCCTGACTCTCTCACCTCCCGGACCGTCCACCTCTGTTGGGACACCCCCAGGTCCAGCCCATCCCGCTTTGCCCGCCGTACGTACACCTCCTGTCCCTCTTCCAGGTGAGGATCCTTCTGCTGCATCCTTCCCAGCTGCCTCTGTCGGTATCGGTGGATGTCGCTCAGCTGAGCCACCTTCAGGCTCTCCATTGCTGCGGGCAGCATCGTCTTCAAGTACACGGCTCTGGCGTCTGCCAGTGCTACCCACTTCTCTGCTGTCTTTGCCAACACACTGTCTGTCAGCAGCCGTGGCGCTCCCACTGGTAGTATGGGCTGCTTCCCGAAGAGCAGGTAGTAGGGGGACACGTCCTTCAGTGCGGCCTGCTTATTGAATCTGTACCCCGCCATCACCCATGCCAGCCTCTTGTCCCAGTCCCCCTTGTGCGCCTCTCCGTACACCCGCAACCCCCTCTTCACCTTCTGCACCAGCCTCTCTGCCAGGCCATCTGCTTGCGGGTGGTACCTGGAGGTGGTGCGGTGCTGTATGCCGTTGGACACCAGCAGCTCATCGAACTCCCTTTGGAATTCGGTGCCTTGATCTGTCAGTACCTCTCCACACGCCCCAAACCTCGTCAGCACCATCTCCTCGAATGCCTCCGCCACAGCCGCCGCGGTCTTGCTCACCAATGGCCGTGCCTCTGCGCACTTTCTCACGTGCTCTATCATGAGCACGATGTACCTCCTTCCCCTCCTGCTCACGGGTAATTCCCCTGCTATGTCTAGCGACCACCTGTATCCGAGCTCCACGATTGCCAGCGGCTGGAGCTCTGCCTGACTTTTCAGCAGGGTTGCCTTGTTCCTGCAGCAGAGCTCGCACCTCTCCACCCACTCCTTCACCTCCTTCCGCATCCCTGCCCACCACCATCCTGTCTGCAGCAGCTGTTGCGTGCGCAGTGGGCTGTAGTGCCCCAGCTTCTCATGCACTTCTTTGATGATCTTTTCCCGCTCCCCTGGCTCTAGCACCCTCTTCCATCCGTCTTTGGTCCTCAGTTGCACCTGCCCTTGAAACCACCTATAGTGCTGCCCCCTTGCCCGAGCCCTGGACCCCGCTCCCCCGTCCTCGGCTGTCTCTCCCTTTATCCATGCCAGTGTCTCGGCGTCCTGCCAGACGTCTGCTGCCCCTCGCTTCTGCTCTCCTCCTGGCCCCTGCTCCTTGACCATGGCGGTCAGTGCTGCTGCGGGTGGCTCTGGTCCGGCGCCCGGCCCCTCCTTCTCCTTCGGCGGGTTCCTTAACAACCCATCCACGTGCTGCATTGTCTTCCCGGGGCGGTGCTTCACGGTGAAGTCATACTCCTGCAATTTCATTGCCCACCGCGCGTTCCGCCCCGTAAGTGTCTGGTTCTGCATGAGCCACAGCAAGGGCTGATGGTCGGTCACCAACGTGAAGTGCCTGCCTTGCAGATAGACTCGGAAGTGTCCGACTGCCCACACCGCTGCCAGCCCCTCTCCTTCGTATGAGGAATAGTTCGCCTCTGCTGGGTTGCACGTTCTGCTGGCGAATGCCACCACCCTCTCCTGCCCCCCTTCCATTTGGCTCAGGACTGCCCCCATCCCTACACTGCTCCAGTCTGTGTAGAGTACGAATGGCGCCTTTCCGTCAGGCAGCTGTAAAACTGCTCCTTCCTTTACTGCCTCCATCAGTCCCTTTAGTGCCCCCTCCTGCGCCTCTTCCCACTGCCACTTCTGATCCTCTCTCAGCAACTTGTTCAGCGGTGCGGCTTTCTTGCTGAAGTCGGCTATGAATTTGCGGTAGTAATTCAGGAAGCCCAATAGTGCTCTTAAGCCGCTTCTGTCCTTTGGGCGCCCCACCCTGTCCAGCACTTCTACTTTCGCTTTCTGGATGCTCAGCTCCCCTCCTGCCACCTCAAACCCCAGGTAAGCCACGCTGACGTGTCCGAACCGACATTTCCCCGGGTGGCAAGTCAGCCCTGCCTCTTGGATGGCAGCCAGCGTCGCTTCGATGTCATTGACGTGCGTGTCGCTGTCAGGACTGAAGATGATTACGTCATCTATGTAGAAGGCCGCATTCTTCACTTGCCGCAGCACCGCATCCATTACCCTCTGGAACACTGCTGAGGCATTCCTTAGTCCGAATGGCATGAAATTCCATTCGTACAGGCCATCCGGCCCATGGAAGGCGGTCTTTCTCTTATCCTCTTCTGCTATGGGTATCTGGTTGAAACCCTGCCTCAGGTCCAGCGTCGAGAACACCCAGCTCCCTTGCAGTTGGTCGAATATTTCCTCCGCCATCGGCATGGGGTAGCGGTCAGTTGCTGCTACCTTATTCAGGCCCCTGTAATCTCCGCACATCCTTCGCGATAGCACTGCTCCTGTTAGATCCGTCCTCGCCGCCACCACTGTTGCTGCTGCGTAATCTGATGCTGACCTGCGTATCAATCCCGCCGCCAGCAGCTCTCGGCATTTGTCCGTGCACACTTCCACATCCTGGGGACTCATTCTCCTGCGCCTCTGGTACACTGGCACTTCGCTTGTCAGGGGCAGGTGCATGGTGCTTGTCACGCACTTCCCCAGCTGCTGCAGGTTGTGCGTGAATGCCGCTGCATGTTGTCGCAGCACTGCCTCTAGCCTGATTGCGGCTGCCCCCTGCAAAGCTGCGCCTATGTTCCACCTATGCTGCTCTTTTTCGCCTACTTCCTGCCCGTGCCCATCCTCGCCTGCTGCTGCTTCCTGCTCCCTTCTCTCTCCTCCAGGTGCTCGGTCGGCTCCCTCCTCTGTCCCTTCTGCTGCCACGCCTGCCTCAGCAGTCTCAGCTGCCCCCTCTCCCTCATCCACGTTCAGTGCCGCCATGTAGGCCCTGCTTGGGCCTAAGAACACCTCATCCGGGTCTGGTATCCATCGCTCCGTTGGATCCTCTTCATCTTCGCTGTCCCAATCCATCGCTGGTTCCTCCCACTCCTCCTCTTCCTCCTCCTGGTCAGGGTACCTTCCCGGGATCCCGTTTCTCTCATCCGGTATCCTCTCTGCCCTCTTCTCTTGTGGGACCCCCCGGCGTCTCTCTTCCCAGGCTTCTTGTTCCAGGTGTGCCAGCAGTATCTCTGACTCCTCATCCTTTATCTCGTCCTCCCTGGTCTTGGGGTCTGCCCTTGCTGCGTGGTCTCTCCGCCTTTCCAGTCGGTTCTTCTCCAGGTACCTATTCAGGACTCCTACCAGCCAGTGTAGCGCGTTCAGATCCATTGCATTTCCCAAGGCCCTCTTCCTCTGCCGTTCTGTCACGTGTTCGCTCGCCGTTGCCCCCGCCATGAAGCCCATGGCCAGCTCTCTCTCCAGTGCCGTCGGCTCCTCCCAAATCCCCTTCAGCCTATCAAACACCATCCCTGGTCCATCCTGTCCTCCCTGCATCTGAAACCCCCTTGCCTGGTCATGCGCTACAAGAGTGGGCCATGCTTGTCGTGGTTTTCCGACCTTGTTGCATGGGAACTGCGTCTCGTGGTCTGGATGCCTGACGGGTGCTGGCAGCCTCGCCGGCTCTAGTATGTCCTGCACCAGTCGCGCGCGCGGTCGTTCCATCATTGACAGCTCATACTGCAGTGCCACCTCGGGGATGAAATTCTGCCAATATCTGCGGGTCCGATGTGTCCTGCTGCCGTTCTGCGCTGCATCCCATGCCACTCCTGCCCCCAGCTCTCCTCTGATCTCCTCTTCGGCCCTCTTCACGGCCTCTCGTAGGTCATCACGGGTATCTACATTCTCCACTATGTAGGCCACCTCCCCTTGCTTGCGCTTGATCATCTTCAGTACGCGCACCAACTCCCGGAACAGTCCGCTCCTGGGATCTTCCATGCCTTTGCCTTCCCCTGCTCGCGACAAGCCCTGACACTCCCATCCGGCTATCACCAGATCCACATGCCCCCAGCGGGACAGCGCCTCCTCCCTCACATCTTCCACTCGGTGACACGCCCATTCTCCTCCCTTCTCAACCGCGTCTGCGTACAGCTGCGATGGATACCTTTCTTGCAGCTTCTTAATGTGATGCCACGACATGCAGCCCGCCGCTTCGTCGTTCTCCACATATATGTATTTCTCCACCTGCAATCCTGCCTTCAAGACTGCCGCCAACCCTGTACTGATGCCACCGAACAGCTCCAGGAGCACTATGGGCTTTTGGAACACTCTCCCGTCCAGGTGCAGCTCTCTCAGGCGCCCACTCTCTCCCCAATGCTGTCGATGCCAGTCTCGGTGCCTCCTCTCTTCGTCCAGCTTCTCCCAGCTGAGTATTCCCAGCTCCTCCTCTACGGTCTTGATCTCCGCTTGGTATGCTTTCCTTGGCTCTCTGCGGATAAACCGCACGGGTAACTCCGCCACTGGCTGGTTTTTCTCCCAGTACACCACCCGATAGGTCAGCTTTTCCTCCCACATGCAGATTGTCGCGCCGATGCTGTACAGGAACTCTACCCCCAGCAGCAGGTCATAGTCTTCGGATTGTGAGATGCCGCACTGCAGCTTCACTGAACATTCCTCAGGGCTTCCTTGCCGGATGAAAATCTCCACCGTGCTCTTCGTCTTGGGCATCCACTTCGTGGTTCCTCCTTCCGCTTTCATCAGCAGTAGCCCTTCCTCTATTTGCCGCTCTGGCCAGTCCAGCTGTAGCTGCTCAGCTAGCCTCCTCCCGATCAGCACTGGGTGTGCGCCCGTGTCTATGATTGCCTTCTTCACCGAGATGCCCCCTACAGTGATGTACCCCTTCTCAGCCACTAACACGGAAGCTGCGCAGCTGAGTCGCTCCAGCGGGTGTCTGCGCGGAGGATGTTGGTCCTCTACCGTATCTACCCTTCTCCTAGGGCCGAGCTCTCTTCCCACTTCGGTCCGCGGCCTCAGGTTCCTCTCTCGCTGCCTTAGCCCCAATTCTTCCCGTTCTCTCGCCGGCCGGGTCATCAAGCAAAACTCTTCCTCGCTGCTCTCCTCTTCCTCCTCCCTAGCCACCATTGCAGGCCTTCTTTCGCTTCTGGCCCCTCGCCCTTCCAGCTGCGCTCGCAGCTTCTCAGTCTCCGCCCTCATTTCCGCCATCTCACTCCGCTCTCGGCTGTCCCCACGGCCTTCTCCCCGTCGCGAGTAACATTCTCGGTCCACGTGTCCCTTTCGTCCGCATTTCCCGCACACCGTCGCCTCTGGGCAATCGCGCCTCTGATGATCTTCCTGCCCACAGATGGAACACGCAGGCGGATTTCGGCAATCCCGCCTCAGATGTCCTGCCTGCCCGCAATTGTGACATTTGCGCGCATCCCCCGGACCCCTGGGCGGTCTCTCTCTCTCTCCGCTGGTGCCGCTCTCCATGCTGGCCACCACCGCTCTGCCGCTCGCTCCGCCGTTCGTTCTACTTCGAACAGTCTCCTTCCCGTTTCCACTCTCTTGGCGGTCTCGTAAGCCACACTCAGCGTCGCCGCTGCGCCCATCTCAAAAATCTTCACTTGCACGTCTCTTTGTAGCTCGTAGTTCAAACCATTTAGGAACTTGCTCACGAGGCATCCTTCATCCACACAGTTCATATCCTCTCCCAGTTCCACCAGCCGTCCATAGTACGCCAGCAGCGACTCTCCCGTTCTCCGCTTAAAGTCCCGAAACTCCACCACTCGCTCCGGTGTCTGCAGCGGAAACTGGTCCCGCAGCATCTCCAGGAATTTCTTCGTAGGATCCCTCTCCCCCTGCTTCCCCTGTGCTGCCCAGTCCAACAGTTCTCGCCGGCAGATTCGATAGTAGGTCTCGGCCTCACCCGTCATCGTATTTGCCAGGCCTCGAAAGAATTCATCCGCCGCCAGTCTATCGCGCTCCCAGCGGGCCCTCAAGTTCTCCAGCTGCATCAGGTAATTCTTGAGCGATGGTCCGCGGCGCACTATCCTGAGAACCGCTCGGGGACCTCCACCTTCGGTAGCATCGTGTATCGCCACCGCATCGACGCTGCTTCTTCCTCAGATCCCTGCCACGACGCGCTTCGCTGGTAAGGCCGGTCGCTTCCCCTCCGTCCTCCTGAAGTCGCCGCTGCTTCAGCGGATACGGGTTTCACTGCTCCCGCTCCGGCTCTGTCCGCTTCCACTCCGTGCGTCTGTGTTCGTTCCTCCGCCGAACCGGAGGCTCCGCTCACTCTCCCAGTCGTTCCCTCTTCTGCACCATGCGCCTCCACCTCCTTCCCGAGCTCGCGCTCCGCGCGTTCCTTCTCTTCATTTTCGTCCATCGTCGTCGTTCGTCCGATCAGATCCTTCGCGGCAAACTCCAATCCCGATCTCGTGTGTATTCCCTAACCACTCCAAAGATTGCTTGTATGTGATGAGCCACTAGATCCCTCACAAAACTTCCTAGCCACAGGCTTCGCCTAAGTCACACAGCTTGTCATATCTCCCTAACTCTACTACTTGCTTGGTATGTCGCAAGAACTCGTATTAGAAATGAAACATACAAGCAATGAGGATTGCTACAACAAGGTGCCTTCTATCTACCAGATCCACCTTCGCCCCTCTAGTCCTGTCTAACCCTTGCCTGTCCTCGGTAGCTATTGCGACCTTGGAGCAGGCTATCATCCATCCTGCCAACTGCCTCTGTTGCCCGCCTCCTGCTGCTTTTCCTCCAGCTGCCACTGCACTGTTCCAGCTGGCTCCTTGGAGCACACCTGCACGCAAACGAAAGCAGACACGCATGCACGCGAACACCCTTCCAAGCTCTGGTGGTAACCTGCTTGCCTTGCCGCTGCCTAGCGCTGTAACTCCTGCCCCTGCCCCTTCCTCCTTCGTCAGTCCCGCCTAGTTTGTTACCCATGCACACCTCCAACCCTTCGCTTCGGCAGTCGTCAACCTCCAGCTCACCTCCCTTCATTCCCAACCGTCACTTGACTCTTCGCCGAGCATCCTTGTTACTAGCCCAGCGCGCTATGTACAATATGTACACTTTGTACAAATCCCCGCGTCCTTACACCCCTGCTCTCACATTCATGCAAATGTGACAGACTTCTTCGAGACCTTCGCTCCCACTCCGAAGATGAGTACTCTTCGGGTGTTGCTGCATATTGCAGCCCAGCGCGACTACGAGTTGCACTCTTTGGAATTTTCCACCGCGTTCCTTCAGGGGAGCCTGCAGAGCAGATCTGGCTGCGTCGCCCGCCTGGCTTCACTGGCTCTTTCCCACCTGGGAGCCAGTGGCAGCTGCGTCAACCAGTCTACAGCCTGCGTCAGGCTCCACGTGAGTGGCACGACACACTTCGCTCGACCCTTGCAACGCTTGACTTCTTTCCGTCGTCTGCCGACCCGTCACTGTTTGTCCACCGTGGCTCGACCCCGTTCTTTGTCCTGTTGTACATCGACGACCTGGTGTTCGCCACTCCCGACCGACGCGCGCTGGCCTCCGTGAAGGAGGAACTGTTGAGGAGACACACTTGCACTGACCTTGGTGAGCTGCAGCACTACCTTGGCCTGCAGATCACCAGGGACAGGGCAGCTCGCACCATTACGCTGACGCAGTCGCATATGATCGAGCAGATCCTCATGCGGTTTTGCTTCCCGTTCTCCAAGGTACAGCTCACCCCTCTTGCTGTGGATCATGGGCTCACGGCTCTTCAGACGAGTTTGAGTCCAGTGGTCCATATCCTGAGCTGGTGGGTTGTCTCATGTACCTGAAGACCTGTACTCGCCCAGACCTAGCTTACCCTCTTAGCGTCCTTGCGCGCTTTGTTGCGCCTGGGAGACACCGACCTTCCCACTGGTATGCTGCTAAGAGGGTGGCGAAGTATGTGGTGAGTACATCAGGCATGGGACTTGTCCTTGGAGGGAAGCAGCCAGTTACACTCACAGGTTACTCGGACTCGTCGTGGGCCGACGACGCGGAGACGCGTCGGTCTACATAGGGGTACTCCTTTAGCCTCGGGGCAGGTGCTGTTTCGTGGCGGTCGACTTGGGCGTCGTCCGTCGCCGGTTCCAGCTGTGAGGCAGAGGTGTATGCTGCGGCCATGGCCGCTCAGGAGCTTCGCTGGCTGTCTTTCCTTCTCACCGACCTTGGGGAGCGGCCTCGCGCTCCCCCAATCTTGTTCGCCGACAACAGGTCTGCTGTCCTGTTGTGTG